ATCTTCTTGCATACTTTCATGCATGTAAAATGGCTGGCAGGAGTTAAAGAACACATAAACACTTAAAGACCTTTTGTGAAGTAAAGTTTAAAAGTATAAAGTAGAAATGTATTAAGCAATCTTTACTAAGGAAATAGACAACTGTTACCAATATGACCCCTTTTTAAACAGGTTGCGTGAACAGATTATCAAAAATAAGCTACCGTTAACTAGTGAAAAACACCATTGATGCTCACGGTGAAGAAATTTCTCTTTAGAAATTATGAAACCAAGAAAGGAGGCAAATTAAGATATTTAGGTGATTTGATATAAACTGTTTATATAGCTAAGAGACTTGGCACGCCACAAAAAGCACTTCCAACAAACTACAGATATTCATCAACAGCTGCCGCCTACCCTCACTCCATACTGAAGATCAGATAGTCAGAAAGAATAACCAACAACAACTGTCTGAGAACTAACCAACCAAGAACCCATCACTCAACAAATATGCAGACGAAGAAAGTGGAGATGGAATGGATTTGGCATACACTGAGAAGGCAGATTGGGGACACCACACGTCCGACCAGGTCCTCGAGTGGAGTCCGAAGGGGAAACGACGAGTTGGGTGACCGAGGTGAGGGTGACATGGAGGAGATCATGTGAAGAAGAAATGAGAGTTTGTGGGGAGTGGTGGAGTGAGGTTGAGAAGACTGGAGAGAAGAGAGTGGAATGGAGGTGTGTTACTGAAGCACTATGTTCCACTGTGAACCCAAGGGTTTGTTCAAAGTATCGAATCGGTTCTGAATCCATACCGAAGCAAGAATCTGCTAGACTAAATCCTCCCTAGATTGATTACATATTGTCTTATGGGTTGAATGAAGTGAAAAAATATAAACTTCAACATTTCTACCCTTTTTATGGTAACATTTTTGTTATATAGCCTGAAGTTCTCCACTTTCTTCTTGTATGATCTTTAAAAAATGGAAAATTTTAAAATCAAGAACCTACTTTCTGATCTTCAGTAGTTTCCTAGTTAGTGTTTAAAAGTAATGTTGATACCAATCAAATTTTCACAAAATTCTTAAACAAGCTGAACATATTTTCGTATATATCTGTTAACATTGATTGTAGTGTTACTAGACTTCATAAACTAAATGACAAGTAGTGTGAAGTTGTGATTTAAAATATTACAGTGACTAAGATTTTCTTCAAAATTTATTCACTGGGGTCTTGTATGAATTTCATTTTGTTCACTCCCTTGCTAAATATGAAGAAAATAGCAACAGACATATGTACAAGACAAAATAACGTCACTTTGTCTTACGGATACTCATCAACTGTATACAAAAAAAAATTATCTAAACTCATAAGGAAATGAAATATTTTAAATCATATGAAAAGGATACAATTTGGCGGTAATAGTAATAGAAGACATGAAGAAATAGGAATTATATACTTTAGTCAAGGTCAGCTATAATTTAAATATGTTAGGCATGTAAATGTGGAGTTAAGAGGAAAACAACCATGAGGGTAAACAAAGCGAAGATTTAAAGGGAACAAGTTGCTAAGGAATTGGGGAGTTATGAAACCATATGGAAAATGAAGTAACACTGATTAATACTCAGTAAATATCAAGGAACATATATGATTTAATCCAACAATAACTTTGAATTCCCAGGGTACTGAAAGTATAATTATGATTTTTTTCTGTGAGTGAAACGAAGTAAACTTTGTGATTTTTTAAAACTTATTTATCCTGTAGACTTCAGAGATATCTATTTCCTGTCCAATTTCCATCAGGTGTGTGGCTGTCATATTTACAAAATCTTTGCTTTAAGGTAATAAGTGCCGTGAAGTCGCCAATTTTATTTCTCTTTGCTGGAGCGTTTACAGCAGAACATTTTAAACCTGATATTTGTACACAAAAATGACTGTAATTAGTCTGATAACTGGTTTTATTTTGATTACATAATGTTTTCCTTTCTCCTACTGAGCTTTGATCATAATTACTTCAATGTTTTACTGACTATGCACGTCTGTTATATTATTATTATTTTCTCTTGGGTGGAACATACGGCTCCACTAGCACGTCTTCATTCCAATCTGTCCTCTACAATCTTTTCAGCCTGACTCCACGACTGCCCATAAGCTCTCATTTCTTTCTCACACTACCTCCTCCATGTCATCCTCGCCTCCCATACCCAACTGATTCTTCCCAATCTGGGTTGCACTCGAGTGCCTGGCCTGACGCGTGATGTCCCTGAATGGTCTTCTCAGTGCATGCTCACTCCAGCTCCACTTCCTTCTACTGCATATTTGTTGTGTGATAGGTTCTTGGTTGGTTCGTTCTCAGAGTTCCTTGTTGCTTATTACTACTATTCTGGCCATCTCATCAATCTTCAGTGTCGAGTAAGCGTAGGTGGCAGCTGTTGGAAATGCTTTTCATGACGCGTCAAGTTTCTGAACCATCTGCATAGAAGCACTGACTTCACTGGATTGGTGTTGAAAACTCGGATCTTGTTCCATACGCTGAGTGCGGAAATCTCCACACTAGTTTCAGGTTAATGTAGGAATGCCTGTCTTGCTTTACCGATCCTGGCTTTGACGTCCTCGTCTGTGCCGCCTGTAGTTGAAACGATGCTACCTTGCCTAGGTGGTAGGTGAAAGAGGCTATTTCCTTTAGGTTTCTCCCGTTGATGGTGACTGGAGCTTGTTGTTGTTGCTGGTGTTGTTGGTTGGGTATCACCATCACCTATGTCTTCTCTACGTTCACTTGAAGTCCTGTCTTCGCTCCCAGTCTCTTCTGTCAACTTGTTGGATTTTGCCTGTTAGGTAGTACTTAAAGTGATTGCGGATTCCCTATCTGTGAAATCTTTGTTGCTTTTATCAGATACATGTTGTCATTGATCCTGACTAAGGCCTGTAACTCCTGGATAGACGTTAGTTGATTTTCAGCAATCTACAGTAGTTCAAACCTGGGTGACCCACTAATGTAGTCAGTGACGTTATCACCGGGCTATACCGACCACTTTGGCTCCTTTAGGCTTACCTTAGTTGGAATGTGTTCACGAAATCTAGTCTCAGCTCTCCTGTCTATCATTCCAATGTAACTATTTTGACATGTACATGGGAATTTGTAGATACAATTTGAGGTGGAAACCTGTTGACGTTTGATTGATATAGTGAAGGGAACCAATTGTATAAAACTATGAAAGCAGAATTAGTTGAGAATAGACTTCGTATTTTCTCATACCGAACTAAACAGATTTATTGACGTAACTCTAATTATTTACAGTATCTATATGACAACAGCTGAATGCAGCACTACTTACATTATCCAATATCAGGTTCATATTGTTGTGATATCCCAGAGTAGTTGAAAAAGATAGTGACTGCTTTTGGTTCCATTAACTATCCCTAATGTTCAGGTATTCAGGTGTCCTAGAGGAATATTTGCTCATCGTTGAACTAGTGAAAAACAAGGCAACTGGAAGTTAGTCAACAATGACTCGAGAAATCTCAACCGTGAATACAACTATAGGATGATCCTTCCTGTTTACATATCAAACAGCCTGAAGCTGAAAGCTTGAGACACAACCTTCACAGCGTGTGAATATATACTTTGTAGATACATTTTGAAGGATTACACTAAATGACTAAAGAAATCAATATCATTATGTAAGTGGAGGCTAACAACTGCCTCTTTTTGAACGCATAAGTGCCTTAAAAGTTTCATTACTAAATATCTGATAGACACAGGACATGACGTCTAAATCTCGAGAGCATTTAAAATTATTAACAAACAAAACACTACTAAGCTACTAAGATTTGCAGAAGCAATTGCCATCAGAAGAACTGAACCAAATTTATTCATCTAAAAAGAGGCAGTTGTTACCCAACAACTTCTATGGTAATCATTGTTTTGTTGCATCACTCAGTATAATCCATTCCAATACTTTATATTTTCATCCCCCTTTTATAACTAAGTTCACAATCAATTCCTGTTTAATGTTCACCAGTTGACTACTTGACCCTATCTGACTTGACTATCATGTTTTTGATTAGTCAATTATGTGGATTTTATATCTCTCTCTATACATATGTTATGAATATATGGCTTGTATGCAGTTGAGGAGAAGGCGACGAAATACAATGAATTCATCATATTCTGCTAAGATTGTTGTTCTAACCTTGCTAAAAAATTTGAAGAGAGCCAATTATATAACAGATTATAAAATATTTTAGTTTTCTTCGGAGATAGTTATCATAAAGTCACTTAGGACTTCATAAACCTTTCTAAAGTTTATGTTAGCACAGAAATAACCATATCAATACAGAGGAATAACTAAGGAATGAAAATAAGGTGGAGAAGAAGAAATGGTGAATGTAAAGAGAAAAAGGGTAAGGAAAAGAATGAAATATTAACTTTTAGGATTAGATGAATATAGAAAATGGACTTATATGAATCAGTGTTGTCTTTCTCGAACCATGAAATGTATGGTTTCGAGCCAGTTATGTCATAGATTTCATTAGAGAAGTCTTTATCTACTAAGTAGTTTAAGACTAACTTATTTGGGTTCTCATATTGTTTTGATCTGATACTTTTCATGATACTTCTATAGTACTGCTAATCTATTTTTATAGTGTATAGTACAATATTTGTATATAGAGGTATGACGTTCAATGTAGGGGTCTCAATTGATGACTGTTAACAAAGCAGATAATTCACTTGGATCACCTAGTTCTGAATACTTAACATCTTAGGTGTTTAGCTCACTTGAGCAGTGCTTTGAAGACACTGATGATCCGATACTTGTGAACTTTGTCTTCTTTGTAAAAAGAAGGTATAAATCCGATATCTACTTAGTATTGGAGGGGAAATCAGTCATCAGTCCTTACTAGAACATAAATTCTTTAGCTTTAAGATTCTAATCATTATGGACATTTGCTAAATCTATGCAAATAATCTTGACAAAACTTTTAATTAATAATATTAATAGACAATAATAATAACTCACGAGAGAGACGATTCCATGATCTTCGAGGAGCAAATGGTGTATAAAGTCCACGTGTTCCACAAACAAGTTTAACATGTTGAATTAAATCACTTCCACACAAATGTACTCGATTCTCCTTTCGTGTATATTCTGATTGAGTTTCTGGCAATATTTGTGTTGCATAACAATATCCAATTTGTATTGAATACTCATTTAAAAATAAGTATACAAAAGAATACATAAATGTTATCGAAAAATGTACTTTCATCTTGCTTTTCTTCTTTTTTTTTCTATCTTTCAAAGAAAGCTAGACAAAAAGTAGGTTTTATTAAAAATCTGTTTATTTAAATGTTTCAATGTTGTCTTTTTATAGGCATATGAAGGCTTCGAAAAAAAATAATAAATCTGTCGTAAAAATTTGTCGGTACCCCTTTTTTATGCATTTATATATATATAATTTGGGAATAGAATTTTTATACTTGAATAATTGTTATAGGTTTGTCCAACCTACTCAAAAGATTCATTAGTAGCATTTAGAAATTTTAAGTGTGCAATTCAATTAACCAATCATATTTCTGATAGTCATCATAACCTTAGAATTTGTTGAAGACAAAACGTATTATATGTATATACAGTAAACTGTCATGAAATAGTCATCTGATATGTTGATAAGAAGTTTATTTAAATTCTTACTTATGAGTAGTATAAGTTAGTTCAACTCACTTATAAGAGATGAATAATATGATAAATTTCTAACAACTAATGATCCCTATAATAATTATGAAAAACAGCATTCTGGACAAAGAATATTCTTTTCAATAAAAATAAGCCACGTTGAGGGCAGGTACATTTTCAAAATAAAGTGAAATTCAGGGATTGTAAAGAAATCAGTTTATCTTTTTATAAATTACACAATATTAGGATGATACATATACAGAAGAATGATATGATGGTGAACAAAAAGATAAGAAATAAGATGGCAGGAGTGGCCTTTAGTTTACTAAAGGTCAAGAGAGAAGTAACATTTGGACATGTTATTTCTAAATGCAGAGTTTAGGCCTGATCAATCTTATTGCAATAGCCTTCACTATGTTGAACAGACATTGATGAGCTACTTATGATGTCATTTTTGGAAGACGATGAATGGTATTGAAAACTTTATTAGCATCTATGTGATGCCGTGTGTTGGCTAGATGCGCTAGGACTTAACTTTTCACCAAACTAAGCTAGTAAATGCTCTCGTATCCGGAGATGCACCTGCCTAATCGTACGCCCTACATAACTGGTCCCACGAGAACACTTAAATTGATATGTGCGTCTCCGGATACGACGGAATTTACCAGCTTAGTTTGGAAAGATCGAATTGGTAGTGGTGAAAAGTTAAGTCCTAGCGCATCTAGCCAACACACGGCATCACATAGATGCTAATAAAGCTTTCAGTGCCATTCATCGTCTTCCAAAAATGACATCATAAGTACCTCACAAATGTCTGTTCAACATAGTGAAGGCTATCGCAATAAGATTGATCACCATCATATCATTCTTCTATATATGCATCATCCCAATATTGTGTAATTTAAAAAGATAAATTGATTTCCTTACAACCCCTTAATTTCACTCTATTTTGAAAATGTCCCTGCCCCCAGCGTGGCTTATTTTTATTGAAAAGAATATTCTTCGTCCAGATTGTTGCTTTTCATAAATATGACAAATTGTTTATAATCTTAATATGCATTTTTGGAAGAACTTAACTTGAAGGGTATTACATTTCGTGTTAGTTATCAAAATATATCCGTGGATACACGCCATTAGAACACTATCAAACCTGATTTGAATAAATCAAACCTTGTTTCCCATATATATATATATATATATATATATATATATATATATATATATATATAATTTGTCCCTTGGGTTCCTAATGGAACATACGGCTTCAGTAGCACGTCTCCATTCCACTCTCTCCTCTGCAATCTTTTCAACCTGGTTCCACGACAACCCACAAGCTCTCATTTCTACCCTCCACCATCTCCTCCATGTCAGCCTCACCTCGAACGCTCAACTCATGGTTTCCCATCGGGGTTCCACTCGAGTGCCTGGCCTGACGCGTGATGTCCCCAGTCGGCCTTCTCAGTGTACGCCCAATCCATCTCTACTTCCTTCTGCATATTTGTTGAGTGATAGCTTCCTGGTTGGTTCGTTCTCAGAGTTCCTTGTTGCTTATTCTCGTTGTTCTGGCCATCTGAGCTTGAGTAACGAGCCAACGTAGGCAGTTGTTGATGAATATTTGCAGTTTGTTGGAAATGCCTTTTCTGACACGCCAAGTCTCTCAACCATCTCATAGAAGCACTGACTGGAAGTTGGTGTTGAAAATTCGCATCTTGTTCACGCTTTATGCTGAGTGCAGTAGATCTCCACACTGGTTTCAGGTCAATGAAGGAAGGCCTGTCTTGCTGTCTTTCCGATCCTTTTTTGACGTCCTCGTCTGTGACAATGCCACCTGTAGTTGAAACAGTGCTGCTTAGACAGGTGAAAGAGGCTACTTCCTTTAAGTTTCTCCCGTTCATGGTGATTAGGCTTACCGTTGTTGTTGGTGGCGTTAGTTAAGTATCACCATCACCTCTGTCTTCTCTACGTTCAATTGAAGTCCGTCTTCGCTTCCTAGTCTCTTCTGTCAACTGTTAGTTTTCGCCTGTAGATCTTCAAGTTTGCGTGACACTAGACATAAGTCATCGGCGAAATCTAAATCTTCTACGTTCTTTTCCGCGGTTTTGTTTTAGTCTTTTAAATATATCTTCTAAATCTATCATGTATTCTGGCACTTTCTTAAAATATTTTCTCAAGCTAAGAACAAAACACAGAAAACACGTTAAGCCGGACAGAAATTGACCTATAGATGCTCAAAAATACAGTACAATACTATTCCTAGGTACTTTCAGATTTTTGCAGTGGCTGACTTAACATAATTACACTCGATTTTGTCTCCATACCCAAGTTTAGACCAGATACTAATGTAACACCAGATACCTGTTTCACCTTAGTGCCTTTAATACCTTTGTTATCAACACTATTCAGATGCGAGGTCGTGGGTGCGCACTGCTGAGGAGTCCATAATAGGACGAAACAGCTGTCCAGTGCTCTCAAGTTTCCTTCGTTCCTCCAGCTGATGTCAGTCTACGATGAGTAACAACTTGAACTACTCAGTTGCCACAAGAGTTCTTTAAAAAATATTGTGCTGGATGCCTACCTGCTAAAAATTTTATTGTTTCACACATTTCGTTTGTTATAAAGCGATTATTAATATCATATTATTAAGATAATAATCTCACTTAACGCATTTCATTTTATATGTCGTGATGTGGATCAATATGAACCTGAAGGTCGCGAGTTCAATCCCTGGTGAGGTCATCGGTGTGCACTGCTGAAGAATGCGTACCAAGAAGAAATTCCTATTCATACCTGCTCATAAGTTTCCAATGTTTCTCCAACTAATTTTAGTTCATGATGAATATCAACCTGAAATTAATAAATGTGATGTTTCTGAGAAGACTATTGCAGAAGTGAATTGGTTATTCATAATGCATAATGCTGTGTTAACAGACAGTTTGAAATACTTCTGAAATGATGAAAGAGATTTGTAGCTCAGAATGAGGATGGTGGTGGTTCGGTGTTTCCAGAGCTTTGGTATTTTGTTTTAGACATTCATCATGAGGAGTGGTGACATCTTGAATACCAAGCCTGATGATGAAACTTTCACGACAAAATACTAAGGCTTAGAAACATTTAGCCAGCATCATTGAAATACTTACGGATAACTCCTCATAGAATTCACGTTTATTTACAAAACAGAACATTATAATTTCATGCTCTCAGTTTACTGTATAGTTTACATTTATGTCTAGCCTCATTAGAACATAACATTTATTTATTGAAGAGATAATTTGAAACGTTTTTCATTATCAAGAACAATCTTTATTGCTGAAGTGTATTCCTGAATAAAAAAGATAACCGTACGGTGGACAGTACGATATGATCTCATTTTATCTCAGCCTTTCGCCTCAACTGCTTTCACTTAAAAAAACATTCTATTGTCGATAAGAATAGAATGTTTTTATTGACGTTCGTTAGCCAGTTTGACAGAACCTACTTTTTTTTTATAAAAGTAAGTGCTCCAATTTATTGCTTACTGAAACCGGTGCGCCTGAAGTTGCGGTACCTTCTCCATTTTGGTTACTTCTTTCTTTTTGTATAACTTATCGTATTCGGCTAAAACTAATTTCATTCAGTATGCTTATGATCTGACGGTTTCTGTAGCAGTTGTCTTTTAGTTAGAATGCTCTCAGATGAATAATTTCTTGTCTAAAATCGGCCAGTGATTCTCTTCACATGGTCTTGAGCCAACCCCTTCTAAATGTAAGACTGATAAACTTTATTCTTAAGTGACAAGAAGACTTCTGTGAGGTAATTTGGTTCCATAACTCCTGTAGTATATATAGTACTACTGTAGAAAACAAACCTAGTGTTGCCTGTCTTGGATTGAGTTTTTCTCCTGACCTTTGTTAGTCGTTTCATAATTTATTGATTTCAAAGAAAATCTTTCATTTAGTGTACTACTTAAAGAAACTGAGACTTTCTAGTATAACTAGGCCTCCAGTTTTACAATTTATTAATTCCTGCATTTTACCTATTCTTCTTTATTGTTCTCCGTTAATCTTTCCTGGTCTATTGAAAAAGGATTATGTTATATTGAGTAGGGCTTTGAAGGCTATCAGTAGGTAAATGGTGTATCTCTGACCCATCTTGTTAACACAATAGTTGACAGATATTTGAATGCAAGCAAGCAACTAACCACAGTGTTTTTATTTTACGCTGAACATCCAGTTTATTCTCAGCTCTCTCATTGTATCTCCTCAGGAAGGACACGAAGAAATTATACAAGACTGCAATCTTGTACGACTAAATATAAGAAATGAATTGTGTCTTATCCAACATGCATCTTGATGTGATGAACAATATCTTAGTTTAGAACTCAATTATCAACTTTATAGAAGTGAATAATCAGTATTTTCAATATTCTCAACGTTTACATATGAATGTACTTGTTACTAATATCATGAACATCAACTAAACTGGTGTAATTAAAACTACTGAAAGTGATATGAAGGAGTACATTTTCGTGAAGAATTTTAAATTGTACCGATATTGTTTGAAATAAGCTGGAGAAAATGTTTTGTTAAA